ATGGGTCACTTTGAATTATAGAAGGCCTTAAGTTCTGCTTTTAGGTTTCGGGATTATTATCAAGAAAGAGGCATCCTAAGATATAGGAGGCGTGGGAAATAGATGCATGCATGGGTCGGGTCTGGGGTTTCTAGGTCGGATGTGGCTGGTACAACAAAAACCATTCCTGCAGCTTTTGGGCTTCGGCTTGGGCTTGTTCTGTTGGCTTAGGAGGAATGCAGGAAAGCACAGGCTGGGTCTCTAGAGGGCCTACCAGGGAACCGCAAAACCCTTGCAAAGAGTGCTTTGGTACAGTCTGGTTCGGGGATTCGGGGATGATGCAGGTACATAGTAAAAGTGCATTCCGGGTAATTCCGCTCTCTCACCGGCAGATTCCGCTCTCTCACCGGCAGATTCCGCTCTCTCGGTTTTGCTCCAAATCGGTGTTTTGCCACTGATTAGCACTATTTGGGCCCAGAATCTGGGACCCTGGCAATCTTGAGATCTATTGGATGCAGGCACTTGCTCTAGGCTTCAGGGTAGGAGTGCCCTATTTGCCCCGAAGACGGAGCCCCTCTGCCAGGCCCCATGAGGACCCCATAGGCCTCCGATGCAACGATTACGAATTAAGTAGGCCTGCACATGAAACCTCAGCGGCACTCGTCCAAAGACTTGGGAATGAGCAATTTGTACTCCCCAGGAACAGACACCAGGGAGCTGCATCGAAGGTATATCATGCATTCCTCCAGCGCAGATTCCGGCCACCTGCACGATACACAATCCATGTAGTCTAGCATCGATAAATATAATATATATATATATATATTATATCCAGTATACCATACTATATATATATATATAGATCGAGAGAGATGGTTTAGGGTTTAGGAACTGGGGTTTAGGATATGTCACCAGCACGTTTTTCAGATATATATATATATATATATTTGTATATATATATATATATATATATCACTCATTATTGAATCAAGAAGATACACGAACTGATGCAGGGCAGTCACACACACATGCACACACTCTCGCCCTCTCTCTCTCTCTCTCTCTCTCTCTCTCTCTCTCTATCTCCGTTTCTGGATTCTTGCTCTACTCGAGACATGATGCAAGATTTGGCTGACCCGAGGCACCTCCCCCATGGATAAGCTGCGAAAGCCCGAAGGAAGTCGTTGTCATCCTCCAGCAGCATGAGACTTATGCAAACCTTAGATATAGGTGCACCTCTTAATGTGCCAGTGCAGGTCCCTAGCTGCAACATTCGGTCGGCCGGAAAGCTTCGTGTTCTCTACACCCATGTCACATGTATATAAAGAGTTTAGGGTTTAGGGTTATAAGGATTTAGAGTTACCGGTTGCGAAGGGTTTAGGGTTTTGGGCATGCATGGCTGTTGTACACTCAAAGCTAGTCTACATTGGCCCCTTTGCTGCCGAGACAAACAGACACCTACGGCATGGCCTGCATCGGCGGCTGCTTCGGTGCAGGCCCTTCACGGAACAGGGGCATCATGTCCACCATCGCCCTCGCAAACTTCACAGGGTAGCACCTTTGCAGTCATAGAGGCACATATAGTATAAATAAAGGATGGTAAAACAATATATATATATATACACACTATATATAATATGTATAGCATATAGTCTCGTACAATATGTCTATATGTTAGAGAACAAAAAGATTTTTTATACAAAGTAGATAGAAGAGGTTTAGGGTTTTGGGGTTTAGGGCTTAGGATAACCAATGCAGAAGTGATCAGTGTGGTTTGACCAAGTTGCTGAGAAGTCTTCAGCTTGGCAGTACCAGTGACCCGCTTGCGGTTTTTCTTGTCCCGGAACCTGTAATACATACCATTGTGGCTTCCCCGCTCGTGCTTGAACAATTTGCCCGTCTTGAACACACAGATGAGGGGGTTGTTGCTGTAGAGCAGTGTGCGCTTGGGCATCTCGTGACCATATTTTCTCAACCACAATGCCACCTTGTAAACCTCGGCTTGCAAACTATGTTCCCGGTGCTTTTCTGTGCTCCTATAAAGGGTGCGGCTTATGCTTCACGTCAGCCCAGAGGCAGGTATTTCCCATGGAAGACACACCCGGAGAAGCCACTGGAACCGAGTGTGCAAATAAAACAAACTCGAAGAGGGCTGCTCAATAATCCAAGTATTGCCGAGCACATGCGCCAGCAGCACAAGCAGCACCGACCTGCATTCATATCGAAGGGATTTACAGGTTCTAGATAGAGGGGGTGGCAGTACACAAACATGGGTTCTATGGACCTGGGCTACACATAATATTGAATGCCCATGCACCTGCTTGAATAATTGTTTGCTTGCTGGACATGACGACGCAAACAGTCTCCCATGGGCATCAATGGTGAACGGCGGCTGGTGGCTGCATTCATGAAGACAAAGGATGAGCATTCCAGCCCCACACAGACCAGTGCCCGATAAGTGCACATGATCATCATGATAGCTAACCTCAGAGACTTTTTGCATGCAGGCTTGCAGAACAGCCTAAGTATACTGCATGTATATATACCCTAAACCCTCAACCCTAAAGCTTGAACCCTAAGCTATATCTATATATATATATATTTATTTATTTATGAAACCAAGCGACAAAAAACCTGCAGATTTCGTCAAGTCCATGTAGTTGTTCCGTCCACTGTCTTTTGCAGACTTATCATACGTCATATCATGACATAGAACATGCCATCCACGAGCTGCAGCCAAGCGCGTAATACGGCCCTTCCCTGCAAACAGCTCCACTAGGTCCACAGCCCTCCCTCCGAAAGGCGGTTCCAGATCCATCCAGCTGAGCATCAGGAGGATCGCCACAAAGGCCTGGCTTATGGTTCAGGATCACAAGAAAGGCCTGGTCCAGGGTTTGTGTTTTAGGGTAGAAAAGCTAGCATGATATATGCGCACATACATCATGGAGTGTAGTGTCTGGGGTTTTGGGGTTTTTTAAGTCAAACGATATCATGCATATAGGATTGTAGACATGGAGGTTGCATCCACATAGTTTGTTCACGGGGATGAAAAGCAGAATCCTCAGTTCACATATAAATGCAGTGCACACGGTCTGTGGCAAAGCTTGCTGTTGCAAGTGTTGAATAATGAACCCCCTGAGATTAGACTTTAAAGGTCTCCAACCCAAACCATTTGCAGCGTTATCTTGCTTACATGCAGTTGTCTGGATCTAAGCTATATAGATTTGCAAGCAGGTTGGGCAATGCTTCCAAGGACTGGACAGCCTACGTCAGTAATATATGATAAACCTGGATCCCTAAACCCCAAACCCTACACCCGATAGACCCTAAGCCCGAAACCCTGATTCATGGATGCAAGCAGCATCTATATGTATACTAATAAGGTTCCCGACATTATAAACCCGAAACACCACACCCTAAACCCAACACACTATAATAAAGCCCTAAACCCTACACCCCAAACCCTAAAACCTATAGCTAGCTTGCATGCGCTATGCATGCTGGCCTTCGGGGCCCCCAGCATCATCAGCTGTCGAGCTGTTTGCTCGATGTTTGCACAACGGGCTTTCCACATGGCTTGGCGTGTAGGGCTGCCGTAGGGAATGCTATCAAACCCGGGAGGATCACTTGAAGTTCAGGTAGAGAGTGAGGAATCGATCTATATCATATACCATCACTGGCCATGAATTTGCAGTCCAGAGCTGTATTCCAGAATTACAGAGATCGATCTATATCGCACCCTATAGAAGCAACTACAATCACTGGCCATGAAGGTGCTGTCGAGAGCTGTGTTCCACAATGTACAGAGATCGTTCTATATCATACCCCAGAAGCAACTACAATCACCGGCCATGATGTCAGCAGGATGGGCGAAGCATTCACATGCAGCAATGCAGTGTAGACCCCAGTCGTGCCACACGAGCCCCAGTGCAGGGTTTAGGGGTTTGGGGTTTATGCATGGGAACATATCTCACTGATGGGAGTGTCTGGATAAAGGTTTCAATCAGACCTGAGATATTTGAACTCTACTGCTGTATATATATATATATATCATATATTAAATATTGTATTTATACTATATTTTACATTAGGGTTTGAGGGCTTAGGGTTTAGGGGTTAGGGTTTGGGGCTTGGGGACAGGGTTTAGGGTTTGAGGCTTTAGGGTTTAGGGGTTTGGTTTTGGGGGTTAGAGTTTGGGGTCTGGGGTTAGGGTTTAGGGTTTAGGGGTTTGGGTTTGGGGTTTCGGGTTAGGGTCTAGGGTTTGGGTTGAGCGTTTTGGGGTTTAGGCTTGCATTTAGGCTTTAGCGAAAGGGTTTATAGAGTTTAGAAACATGGAGACAAACCAGAATGCTATACAAGTGATCATGTGGATTATGTACTCTAGATGGACCCCAAAGCCACAAGCGCAGATACCAACACAGAAAACAATGGATCCTCCAGTTTCAGCTATACAGACCCTGATGTAGAACTATATTTAGATTATAAACCAAAACCCCCTTTTCTAAACCTTAATCCCGATTCCCATTTGTAAACCCAACGTGACTGGGCAACCGAAGGCCACGCCCCTCTTGAGCAGCACGCTGGCATTCTGCCCAGGCCTCATCGTACCTGCAGCCAGTATACTTGCAACAGACAAATGGTTGCAATGCACTGACCAGCTCATGTCTCATGCAGCACACATTTTGCGACAGCTTTCCCCTGGCCAGCATTCCCCGGCACGCGTGGACATCTTAAGTGCAGAGGTTCACCCCCACACACCCTGATGAAGCATAAAAGGCCATGCAGCATCACTGTGTGCACCATGATTCTAAATATGGAGATGTGTACCATGTTGGCTGCATGCATGCCTGAGGTCTGTCAGTGTGTGCTCACCACAGTCGACACTGCAAAAGCAAAGCACTTCAAACTAGCGCATGCTGCTGAAAAGCCGCTGCCACACACAGTCGAGATTTCACATCTATGTGCGAAATTGGCAAATTAACATGTTTCGAGCACCTGCAGAAAAGACCGCAAACGCCAAATCACTGCTCGACGAAGTCGCGCAAGAACGGTTCCACCTGGCTTATTGCCACTTCCATCAGCTCCTGAGGGCTCAGGTTCTTGCCAGCGAACAAAGGCTTGACACGGGCCCAGAACGCGTACTGTGCTGGGCCATCGAACTGGATATGCCGGCAAATCCTGCTGTCATATGCATCTCTGATCGCTGTCCACTCGGCCGCAGCCTGGGACCCTTCGGGTCTCCACCTGCGAGCAAAAGCTTTGACCTTCTCCTCCGACTCGAGCTTTGTCGAGGCCTTTGGCTTCTCCGAGCTCTGCTTCTTGTTGGCACTTGACAGCTTGGCCTTTGCCTTTGCTTTTGCATGCGCTTTTGCCTTTGCAGACGCAGACATCGGCGGCTTGGCTGCTTGCTTCTTTTTGCCTTGGCCTTTGCTTTTGCCCTCGTCGGCCTGCTTCTCTTCACACAGCTCTTGCACTGCCTTTTTCTTGCCTTTGCCCTTGCCCTTGCCACGTTTGCCTTTGTTTTCGTCGGCAGCACGGTTGGCGGCCTCATCGTCGCCTTTCTCAACAGGCTCCACTGCCTTCCTTTTGCCTTTGCCCTTGCCACCTTTGCCCTTGCCACCTTTGCCCTTGCCACTTTTGCCACTGGGCACGTCGGCAGCCTCCTCGCTGTCACCAGCCGATTTCTCGGCCTCGTCGCTGTCTTTCTCCAAAGGCTCTTCGTCCACGCCATCCGAGTTGTCGACAGCGTCCACATCCTCCTCACTGGCCTCAGCCTCCATCTTCCGCTTCCGAAGCGCATCAGGGGCTTGTTTGCCCTTTCGACGAAAGCAGGGCTCCGTCTTTTCCTCCACACCCCTACCTCGACCACGCCCTCTGCCACCTCGAGCAGCTGGCTTCTTGTTCACATGCTGTGCCTTCCCACGGCCACGACCTCTGCCACGGCACGCAGTTTCGTCGATTTCAAACTGCTTCTTGCGGTCGAGCACAGCCTGCATGCATGCATGTATGCTATGGAGTACGATACATATATGACGTCCCATAGAACATGCACCCACCTATATAACAGCATATATTTCTTGATTCCCTGATAGACCTTGAAATCCATCACTGAGAAATCATGCGTTTTCGAGGTCTCCATCTCGGCTTTGGCATCAGCGCTGGCAGTGGTGAAGGCTTCGGCTGCTTGAGATGCATCGTACTGCAAGGTGTCCGTGGTCGTAGGATCAACACCTCATGCAGCTGATCTGTTCAACAACATAATCATTCTTTAGCTCGCATGCACATGCAGATCGAAGCTTTCTAATATATGTGACTCGACCATGCACACACACACACATGCATGCAAGCCACCCTGTTGGGCAGCATCCGGCTGCTGGGCTTTGGCGGCGAGGATCCGTGCAGCACGCTTCTCAGCAATTTGTGCCCTCGGAAGGGTGCATGGTTGCTTTATAGGCAGAGTTTAGGGTATTAGGGTTTATAAGGTTTGGGGTCTATAGGTCGAGGCTTCGGCAGGGCAGAATCTTGAGGTGTAGGGTTTAGAATTTTCAGGGGCATTGGCACAGAGTATATTGTATTCGAATTATAATTCAGATTCACACAATATAATATAATATATATATATATGCCATGGGATTAGGGTTTAGGGGTTGGGGTTTAGGGTTTACATAAATTTACCATATTATTATTTTATATATAGTATAGGTCTGTATAGCTTTGTTCTGTGATTATGCCTCAAAGCACAAAGCTCGGTTGCAGGATGTATGATGAAGAGTCTGAAAGGGGACATTCGCCCTAAACACTCAACCCCTAAACCCTGAACCCTATACCCTAAAGCCCTATCCCTAAATCCTAAACCCTATAACCCTAAATCTACATATTATATTATATATATAGGGTTTAGGGTACAGGGGTTTAGGGGTTTAGGGTTTAGGGTTTAGGGGCTTAGGGCTCAGGGTTTAGGGGAACATAAGCATGCTGACATAAAGCCACATTCTGAAATTGTGAACATGCTTGAACAAGATAGATATCCTGTACAGGGTTTCCGAACCCAAGATCCCAAGAGACTGAGATAAGGCAGAACCCTTGCATGGCACAGAAAAACCTAAACCCTAAACCCTGGTTTATATAGAGGTTGTTGTGCAGTCCTTTTCGGCTGCTGTTAAGTATTCTTTTCTATGATTAAGTTGCTCTCGACTCGGGAGTTGAAGGAATATCGTGATTTAGGTTTAGGCCTTGGCCAGGCAATATAAGAGTTGCTATTGGAAAGCGACACCAAACCACGGCATGGATCGACGAGCTGCCGTCTGGACGAAAGCAAACACATACACGGTTCCGACCGATCGAGTCGCCCTTGCTGGTGGACTCATGCAAACAAGTCCTATGCTATGGACAACATTCGTCCTAAGCCTTCAAGCACTGCAACATGGACTGGGCTCCCGAGCATGGCGGAGCTGGCTATGATGATCGAGAAGCACATGCGACCACCATCGGATAAACCCCATGTATATAATAAGACCCTTAAATCCCAAAACCCAAAACCCTTATAGAACATTCTGTAGAATTAATTCTGCAGACAGGCCTGCTATATAATGCGCATGCATATACCCTAAACCCTAAAACCGAATACATAAACCCTAAACCCTAAACTACATCTATGTTACATCTGTGAGAGAGATAGAGAGAGAGAGAGAGAGATATATATATATATAGAGTATACAGTTTAGGGTTTAGGGTGTAGGGGTTTAGGGTATATATCTTTTTAATAAAGACATTGAAGGTCCTCTTGCATATACTATATCCTAAACCCTGAACCCCTATATAGACAAACCCTAAACCCTGAACCCTAAACCCACTTCGAGGTTATATGCATATAATCCCATCGATGCCGAGATGCTTCAACTCCTGCAAACGTGCAAGCTTGAGCGACAGGTCGGCGCTGACAGTGGATCCACTTCGCTTGAACAGCTTTGCAGAGGAGGCACGTGTGTCAGTGGGAGCGTGAAGCTTTGAAGGGTCTTCGTTCACATGTGGGGCTACCGGCTGACAGACCACAGCATCCTGATAGGCTGGCAGGGAAGCTGCTAAGCTTGGTTGTGCAGTTGCAGACACATCGCTTGGGATCCCAGCACACAAAGCTGCTGTGTTCAACAAACCCTGATCTGACATGGCACCTTGGCACAAGAGCCGGGTTGCTGAGCTGACATTGTCAATTGCTGGGGCACTTGCTGCAGACACAGTACTCGGGATCACAGAGGAAGCTGCTGAGCTAGCATTGTCAATTCGTGGGGCACTTGACACAGGGCTAGGATAGTCAATTGCTGCAGCGCTTGCAGACACGGCACTTGCAGGGGGGATCACGGCAGGAAGGAAAGCTGCTGAGCTAGCATGGTCCAGTGGAGGGGCACTTGCAGACACATCTCTAGGGATCACGGCAGGAAGGGAAGCTGCTGAGCTAGCATTGTCCATTGGCGGGGCACTTGCAGACACGTCACTTGCGATCACACAAGGAAGGGAAGCTGCTGAGCTTGCATCCTCCACTGGTGGGGCACTTGCAGCCACATCACTTGGGATCACGGTCGGAAGGGAAGCTGCTGCGCTCGCATCCTCCATGGGTCGGGCACTTGCAGACACATCACTCGGGATCACACAAGGAAAGGAAGCTGCTGAGCTTGCATCCTCCATTGGTGGGGCACTTGCAGACACATCACTCGGGATCACACAAGGAAAGGAAGCTGCTGAGTTTGCATCCTCCATTGGTGGGGCACTTGCAGACACGTCACTTGGGATCACGGCAGGAAGGGAAGCTGCTGAGCTAGCATTGTCCATTAGCGGGGCACTTGCTGACACATCACTCGGGATCACGGCAGGAAGGGAAGCTGCTGAGCTTGCATCCTCCATTGGTGGGGCACTTGCAGACACATCACTCGGGATCACGGAAGGAAGGGAAGCTGCTGAGCTTGCATCCTCCACTGGTGGGGCACTTGCAGACACGTTGCTCGGGATCACAGAAGGAAGGGAAGCTGCTGAGCTTGCATCCTCCATTGGTGGGGCACTTGCAGACACGTTGCTCGGGATCACGGCGGCACTTGCAGCTGCTGCACTTGCCACAACACTTGCAGATGCTTCACTTGCAGTGCCGCAGTCAGACATGCTTGAAATCAGAGC